GCTTGTGTTAATCAAATTTTGTGGCTCTCTCATAAAAAAATTCATTTTGATCTTCGACTCTCAGTCTGGTTAGCGGCTTGCTAAACACTGAGTCATATTGGGACTTGAAGTAGCTCACTCATTTCCTTGCTGTCATCTGTGTAGGACCCATCTTGTTTAAGTAGGGGCCCAATACTGGACTTTGATTTGGCATAGGAGAAGAAATACTTTGGGTTTCTTTCGATTTCATTTATGGCTTTTAGTTCTTCCCGCGATTCCTGACTCCTATAAGATTCCTTTAGCTTAAGTTCGATGCTTGCTATTTCTCTGACCAGTGTCTCCCTACGCCTTTCAGATATATTGACCTCTTTTAGCCGCTCTGTTATTTTCTGTCGCCTGTAAAGGGAGCGCCTGTCCCTTTCTATTTTACATCTACTCCTCCTTTTTCTTAGAGGAATAAGCCTTGTACATACATCGAGCGCCACCGAGTTAATCTGTTCTAGGCATACGTTGGGGTCTGTGTTGCTTAGTATATCTTCCCAGCTTATATCAGTGTTTGTGTATTTTGCCTGCTCTTGCGAATTCCTTGCATTGTTAATATCTCTAGGAAGGCTGATGCATGCAGGGGATGAGATGAAAAGCTGTAAGCCTTCTCCCTGAAAGCTGGCTGCCTTGGATCAAACGTGTAGCGCTAGCTACACGCCAAGGTATTGTCTAGTGTGGGTAGATTGGTAAAGCACTGCGTACCTTGTCCCAAGGTTCGTAGGTTCGAGTCTCCTTCAGCCAGAGATCAGTGTTATAAAAAATATATATATATATATATTATATATATATATATATATATATATATATATATATATATATTTTATATATATATATATATATATATATATATATATATATATATAATCAGAGGAAGCGTCGTTACTGGAACAAAGAGGCTTCCTGTGATAGCATTTGTTTGACCATCCTCTTTTCTGCAACACTGCAAGCTCCTGACGACGTGTTGATTGAAACACGAAAGGCCTAGAGCTATCATTCAACCCCCCTCGTGGTTTTGCATCTTGTATCGCTTGTTTGCAATTTTTGTATTACACACACATACAAGAATAGGAGAAAACAGATGAGAAAGGTTTCTTGGTAAGAGGAAGAGAAGACACAACAACTTTAGAGTAATATAAGACTGGTTGATTGGTGAAGGGAAAGACAACAGAAAAAAAAGGGGGAGGCACGAACAAAGGGACCCAGAAACAGATAGACCAACAAACGTCCCGATGAGGGAAAAAACTGAAGAGACCAGGTGATAAGATGTAGGGAGAGAGAGAGAGAGAATCTATAACAGCCACTCACCCACTGGTTTTAATTAACTACTGCTGAAATAATCATGTTAAATCTTTTTTCTCAACCACTGAATCTCTTACAACCACTGAATTTCTCAACCACTGAATCTCTTACAACCACTGAATCTCTTACAATCGTTAAACTGTTCAAACGTTTTTTAAACACATTGTTGATATTATCACAAAATTTACTATATTTTTTATTTAAAAATAATTTTAAATTCTTCTTCAAAAAAATCAAAATTAAATAATTATAATAATCTTATTCAACCATTCACCCCCTCCCCCCCCCTCCCCCCTCCCCAAAAATCTTACTTTTTTCACTAATGTTTTCAATTCTTTTCCTGAACTGAAGTGTTGCAGTTATTGTATCTTTCAACAGTGACTTTGTTCAGTATTCAATGAGGTTGCAACACGTGCAACACGTGCAACACGTGCAACACGTGCAACACGTGCAACACGTGCAACACGTGCAACACGTGCAACACGTGCAACACGTGCAACACGTGCAACACGTGCAACACTGAAGGTTTCAATGACTTATAAGTCTTCAGTCATGAACTTGTTGGCTACGATAATTATGTTGATTATTGATTGGTTGTAACTCTGTTTCCAACCAATGATGCTGTTAGTAGTGGACAGTTGGTACCAGACAGGTGGTACCAGACAGGTGGTACCAGACAGGTGGTACCAGACAGGTGGTACCAGACAGGTGGTACCAGACAGGTGGTAACAGACAGGTGGTACCAGACAGGTGGTAACAGACAGGTGGTACCAGACAGTTGGTACCAGACAGGTGGTACCAGACAGGTGGTACCAGACAGGTGGTAACAGACAGGTGGTAACAGACAGGTGGTAACAGACAGGTGGTACCAGACAGTTGGTACCAGACAGGTGGTACCAGACAGGTGGTACCAGACAGGTGGTACCAGACAGTTGGTACCAGACAGGTGGTACCAGACAGGTGGTACCAGACAGGTGGTACCAGACAGGTGGTACCAGACAGGTGGTAACAGACAGGTGGTAACAGACAGGTGGTACCAGACAGGTGGTACCAGACAGGTGGTACCAGACAGTTGGTACCAGACAGGTGGTAACAGACAGGTGGTAACAGACAGGTGGTACCAGACAGGTGGTACCAGACAGGTGGTACCAGACAGGTGATACCATACAGGTAGTAACAGTCAGGTGGTACCAGACAGTTGGTACCAGACAGTTGGTACCAGACAGGTGGTAACAGACAGGTGGTAACAGACAGGTGGTACCAGACAGGTGGTACCAGACAGTTGGTACCAGACAGGTGGTACC